GAGAAATAGGATCGATCTACATGGACAAAAGAATTTCCAATTAAATTTGATTTGATCTCTAACCAGAAAATCTGCAAAATAAAATAAAAAAGTGGATTTATCGAATTTAATTGAATAAACTAAAATTAAATTAAAATAAAAAAGAAATAAAAATAAATAATTGAGAAGAGATAATGATAGGAGACAACCTCAAGCTTCGTTTTGACTCGACTCATCTCGATCATTGAAATATGTTTTACTTCAGGATTCTTACCGGTTACAACTTACAAGGCTCAACCCTTGTAACTTGCTATTCTCTCATGTGAACTAATTTCCAAAGTCAATCCTTGGAATTTAATTCTTGATTGGATTTAACTTCGACTATCGATGTTAACGCCAATATCTTCTTTAATGCTGGAAAAGCCTGTTCCAAGATTATGCATCTCAATGAGAATCGAACCCGATCTGGATTTCCTTTAGCGGACCGCTATAAGTTTGTTCTTAGGAATTTGAATTTGCTACAAGCCGATTCTCCTCCCCCAACGGTAAATCAAAACAACATTCAATCCAAGGTGTAATCTTTGAATTGAAAGTGTAAAGAATTTAAAGATTAAGTGATTATCTAACCTTATTTTCCGAAAATCAAGAAAGATACCTGAAGGTATGAAGCATTTTTCAATTCTCACGAAATAGATTGAGTCATCGCTCAGCTATTAGCTAAAAGAGATTTAATTAAACATAGATTGGATCATGCTTAGCATTGTGAAAAGAAAATAATGAAAGAAAAGTAGAAATTTAATAAATAGCCATGGAAATATAGATTCCAATTTGAGTATAAAGGTTGGACCTAAAGGGTATTTATAACCAAAAAATTCTAAGTAAATAAAATAACTAAATACTAATAAAACTAAAAATACTACCAAAAGTTCTAATAAAATAACTAATTCCTAAATAAAACAATAAAATAACCAAACTAAAAAACCTAAATAAAAAGTTTTATCACACAAAATAAAAATAAATATTAAGTCTTGTACTTCTGGTTGAATTCTACTTCATCTTATGATAATCTTATGTCATGTAAATTCCAATTAAATATTCAAGATGCTGACTGAACCATCGAAATCAACTATTTTTTTGGCTAATTAATTTAATAAAGTTCATGTCCAAAATAAACCCAAGATAAAGATATATGAGTAATATCCAATCAAAAAATAAAGAGTAAATAATAATAAATATATGCAATATAAAACACTCATCAATGGCAATGGGCGGGGGAGGAATTTACATCCCCAATTAATATTGACACAATATAATTCTCAATCGAATTTAATGAATTTATTTTAAAAATGAATATTAAATAATTTTGAAGTTTGAGAATGAAATTCAATCCAATTTAAGGTAAGTCTCTAATAACAAATTACGAATCGAGTTGGAAATTATTACTACTGGGATTTAACTGGGCTGAATTACAATCCAAAACATAACACAAAGGTACAGTCATTGCCCAAGCCCAAGTTAGGCGTATGCCTGATTGAACCAATTAAACTGTTTATGATCAATTATAATTAACTACCAGGGTAGTTTCCCAAAAGTTTATTGAACGACAAAACATAAACATCCTGCATAAATCACCGCGGCCATACATTTTATTACAAACTGGAATGAAAACACAGCCGAAGAACACAACGCTAATCCGAAATAATGAAATGAAAACACCGGCAGAAGATATTTTGGGCCGTTACAAACTAAGATTGAATATTTTTTAGACTCATATTAGGTAGGATGTAAGAAAGATAGAAAATTTAATTCAAAATATTTTATGTTTGGTGAAGGAAATTTGATTTTATAGGAGAGTAAGAAATAAAACGAAACCTCGTAATCTAGTGTAAAAACTAAATATAGAGTTACGACCAAGTTTATTTGTGAAATCATATGGGTGTATCAGAAACTCAATGCTATAAAGTTATAGTGTGATAATTAAGTTGTTGATTACCATAGGTTATGTGAGAAGTGAAGAAAAAATAGGAGATATTTTCATAAAGGCTCTTTATGAGGTCAACATTGATTTTCTATTATGTGACATGATATATCTATGCTTCAACCTGAAGGAGAGAGTTACAAATTTATAGGCTAAATATTTGGGTTACTATTCATTATATTTAATGTATGATACTACATAGTTAATGTAGTATATTATTTTACATATTATATGACCTTTATACAGGGCCGGTCCAATGAGTTTTAATGTCCTGAGCGAGATAATTTCATGCCCCTATACTTGTACCGTATAATAGACAAAACATAAATAATTTTTTTAAAACAAAAATGTAATAGAATTTATAGTCAAACAATATCAATAATAACACAAACAAAAACCTACAAGGCTACAAATATCACCTAAAACAATGTCTTCATGTATTTTTTTGGGCCAAATATATATATACACACTATAACCACTAAAAAACTGATGCCCCTCAAACATGCTGCCCTGAACTAAGGCCCATCTGACACATGTATTGGGTCAGGCCTGCCTTTATACTTGTATGTACACGTAATGTTGGTTAATGAAATTCAAGAAAATATTCTCTTGTTAATGTTTTATAGATACAAACATATTAAACATAAAATATCTTTTAATTTATATATGAGAATAAATGTATATAGTTTAAGCGTATTGTATAGTTAAAAAAATCGGATTCAATATTTAAATTGAATGAATTTATTAATTTGATGTCATCCTAAAACATGTATGGTAAAATTTTGTTGATAAGGGCATCGTTGAGAAGGACGACTTTGAAGCAATGTTTTAAAAACCGGATCGGCCGGTTCAATCGAGAATCGTTGTCTAGTCCGGTTTAATCCACATCGGTTGAACCACTACTAGTGAACCGGTCGGAACCGTTCGAACCAGACTGGCTGAAAACCGGAAAAAACTGTCAATTTTGTTTTTTAAAAAAAAATTAAATCAAACGACGTCGTTTGTTAAACGAGCCAAGTCGAGCTCAATCGAACTCAAGTATTGTTGAGCTCGACTCGAACTTGAAAACTTTAAAAGTAAGCTTAACTCGACTCAAACTCACGAGCTAAAAATTATCAAGTTCAACTCGAACTCGAAATATAATATTGAAACTTTAACTCGAAAAGACTTGAACTCAAAAAATATTTAGAAGCTCGATTGAAGCCTAAAATTCGAGTTTGATTGAAGTGAAATAATAGTTCACTCAATGCTCACCAAAAGGCTCCATGATTTTGAATGTCAAATTACCACTATTATTTATAGAAGTTAGTTGGGATGTTCTTCTATGTTTCTTAGCCATGTGAGATTGTTTTGTTCTCATATTTTTACTCTTTAGATTTTTTGGATGCTCTTCTATGTTTCTTAGCCATGTGATATTATTATTTTTTTTAAAAATAAACCAAACAATATCATTTTGTTATGATTTTTTTAGCCCCAAATTTATTTTTTAATTATAGTTATATAATTATATTTATTATTTAATATGTTTTACCTTAAATATTATGTTGTAGTTAATTTGAATCATTTTGTTTAACTTGATTTTATGGTTTTTAACTTATATATGTTATGACTTGCTTTGAATATGACTTGTGATATAAAATTTTTTTTATTAAATATTTTTTAAATTTTTATTTAATTTTTTAAATAATTATGGTATCGTCTGATTCTTCCGACCGATTGAACCGATTCGACCGGTTGAATTAATAAATCGATAACATGATCGATTTAAAAAACGGTCCAGTTCTAAAAATCATGCTTTGAATGCAATACATGCAGTGTTATTTTGTTTGCATTTGACAGATGGTCACATGGAAACATTGAACGAAGTTAAATAATGGGAGCTTTCAGATTTCGAAAATTCTTTGAAATTTTTCTTAGGCGATCGAGTTGTTACAATGCATTCACATTTTCACTAACCAATCACATGTTTTTTCTTGTTCTTTTTCAAAAGCAAGGACGGTCACGTGGATGAGTTGAAATATGGAAGCAACCTTATCTGACAGTCCTTTTTAAACTGACACACTCTGGCATCATTGTACTTTTTTTCGTCTTCTAAAGGAATTGGTAGGGTAATGGGTTCATAAATGCAAATTCATGACAATACATAAAACTATTGACCTGAACATGCTGTGGTCCTCTCCTGTCATTGTCGTAATCAAGTCTAATCATACAAACGTTATTATTTTGAGTGTTCGAATAATCGAATACGTTAATTTTCTTTATTATGTTACACGTGTCAATATGATAATTTTAAAATTTTTATATAAACTTTAAAAAAAATTATATATTTTTAAAAAGAAAACACAAAAGTTTTAAAATAACCCAAAAATTTTAAAAACCTTCATTTTAATTTCTAATCACATGCCAACCGTCGCCCTTTATCGTCAACGAAGCTCTAGCCGACCTCACCTCTTCCCGACGACTAAAATACCTATTAAATTGTGGCTGACGGCGAATCGAGCTTAATTTTCTATCTTAACTTTCACAAGTCATAATCAATGAATGAGCCGTCCTTCTCAACCTTAAACAACTGGGCAATCTACTGTCCATTGCTTGCTTGATCCCGTCAGTTTCAGTATCGAGCTTAATTTTCGTGAAAAAGACATCACGGCAATGATCCCGTCATCGATTTGTGACCTCAAAAATTTCACTAACCTTGGCCTCGCCCTGAACTTCATTCCTCGGGAATTCCAGATAACGCATTACAATTGTTCAAAGCTTCAAGTCTTAGACCTTTCTCAGAACTATTTTGTCGGTCAAATTCGTTTATGTCGAGGATTTTCATGGGAAGTCCGATTTATTTGGGAAGGTTTTATTTTAATCTATTCCACAACAAATTAGAATCTAAATCTCTCATCAGCTACAAAAACAGTGCTTACGTATATTCACTTCAGTTGGTTTTGTTTCATATGTGATGCCTTAGACTGTTCAGTCCTCCGAACCAATTTTGTTTTAAAATGAAATTCAATCCAATTTAAGGCAAAATAACGAATTACGAATCGAGTTGGAAATTACTACCGTTGGGATTTAACTGGGCTGGATTACAATACAAAACATAGCTCATAGATGGTCATTGCCTAAATCAGGCGTATGCCTGATGGAGCCAATTAAACTGTATGACATCAATTATAACTACCAAGGTAGATTCCCAAAAGTTTATTGAGCGACAAAACATAAACATCCTGCATAAATCACCGCGGCCATACATTTTATTACAAACTGGAATGAAACACAGCCGAAGAACACAACGCTAATCCGACATAATGAAATGAAAACACCGGAAGAAGATAACGCAAAGCAGGGATTATTTGACCGCAGGCACCATGGTACAACCATCCTGCATTTATCACAGATCCAGACATCAGGACAAAAGAACAATATAACAGCACAAGGAAAACAGAAACAATAAACCTTCATGCATAACGTAGAAATGGTTACAAAACCTTTCTGTGATTTTAATTTGCCTGGTTTTAGGGAAACTTACAATTTGGTACAATCATCCATATTTGGTTGTCTCCGGCATTCCATTCCCATACACCAATAGTGATGCCATTATAAATGTTACCACTGCCGATGAAAGCATCGAGATTCAGGTGAGTGTTATTAACCATACGTATGGCTTTGTAGCCATCCCTGACTTCATTGGACGCGCTCCATAATACAGACTCGTCCAAAACGTCTGATTGGTAGGGTGCCAGTTGGACCTGCGGATCAAAATCTTTTAATTTTTAAGCAAATTAAGATTTAAGGCTAATAAGTTCCAAACGTATTTTTTCAAAAGCAGAGGAATGAACAAATGAAGAATTTCATACAGGCAAAGATGCTCCAAGGGCATGTTTGATGGCTTCATCAGTGACTTTATTAATCAGAGAAAAACTGGGGAAACCCTCATCATCTTTCACACTTGAGCCGTACTTCTCATCTTTATACCAGACCTAAAACAACAACAAAGATTTACATCAAAATCAAACTAAGACCCGTGTTTTCCTTTAATCTTAAGTTATAGCACTCAAAAGGTTTAGAAAAACGAGATTAAGTGAATGGTACCTGGAATTCATCAGAGGGATCAGATGGAGCAAGAACAACCTTACCTTGTCTTATGGTAAGATTATAATTAGGATCGGCCTTACTGTGAATTTTCACAGTATTTGGTTCAATCTTCCATATTTGGTTGTCTCCGCCATTCCATTCCCATACACCAACAGTGGTACCATCAGTTATGCTACCATTGCCAATGTAAGCATCGAGATTCAGGCTAATGTTATTAACCATACGCATAGCTTTGTAGCCATCACTGACTTCATTTGACGCGCTCCATAATAAAGACTCATCCAGAACGCCTGGTTTGTAGGGTACGAGTTGGACCTGCGGATCAAAATCCCATAATTTTAAAGCAAAACTTTAAGGCTAAATTCAAAACGATTTTTTTAACAATTGTATGAATAAACAAAGCATTTCTTACGGGATGAGTTGCTCCAATGGCATGTTTAATAGCTTCACCAGTAGCTTTATTAACCAGAGAAAAACCGGGAAAACCGGATTCATCTTTCACAGTTGAGCTGAACGTCTCATCTTTATACCAAAGCTAAAACAACAACAAAGATTTACACCAAAACCAAAATAAGATTCATGTTTTTCCTAAACCTTAAGTTTTAGCACTCAAAAACTTCAGAAAAAAGAGATTAAGTGGGATATGTTGATATGGTACCTGAAATTCATCATTAGGATTAGATGGAGCAAGAATAACCTTACCATGTCTGATGGTAAGATTATAACTAGGATTGGCCTTACAGTAAACTTTCATAAAAGGACCAGCCATTAGTTGACTACCTTAATCAATTTAACAAAGAGAATTCTCTCTATGGAAACAGAAGCAACTCTTTTGAACTTTCAAACTTCTCTAATTGTTGAATGATATTCGATGGTTTGAATGATAAAATGGATAGAGTATTTAAAGTTGAGTTTCAAGGACCAACTTGAAAATAACCTAATGACCAAAAGATAATTTACCACAAATTATTTGCCACGTCCCAATTTAGTGTCTTTGTCATTTTCTCCATGTGTTGATAGCCGTTAATCATGAATAATTTTATGACACTTCAAACTCGAGGGGGACCATTCACACAAAAGATTTTTAGATTTTTTATAATTTATATATAAAATCTTTTAAAATGACACTATTTAAAAATATATTGATAAAATTTATATTATTTAAAATAATTGATAAAATTTAACTCATGGGTCAATGTACGTGTTATGTGCTATAATTTTGATGGGACTTCTTTTTGCCCTGTTTAAACCAATTATGTATTTGATATTTTCTATGAATAAGGGAAGAGTATAAAATATAATGTTTTGTAATTGAAATTTTTATTAATAGAATGATTTTTTTTTAAGTTAGATAGTGTAACATTTTAAGTTGAAATTTAAAATATTATCTTTTTCATAACATTTTTTATTGTAACTGAAATTATTATAAATTGTATAGCTTTTTCGATTAAAAAACCTAAATTCACTATAATGTAACATTTTCGATTGTAACCGAAAATACTATAAATTATATAATTTTTTAAGTTGAATATAATAACATTTTAAGTTAAAAACTAATTTAAATTAAATTATCATACAATAAAACTATCTATGGATATATAAAATAAATAATTAAATAAATAAAATCAACTAAACGCACTATCTTAATTTAATTTAGTCAGGAAATAATTTTATTTGGTTAGTTCGCCTCATTTATTAGGTTTTAAGTTGTTACCAAACTTTTAGCCTAGAATTCGATACGAGGATCATAACATGAAATATTAACATCATTACAAATAAGTGTCATCTTGATCAGTTGTACATCATCAAATCCAACCATGAGAAAACATAAAATAAAAAGAACGGACAAAGGACGTCCTAGAAAGAAGATGAAAAACATGTCACAAAGACAGAGAAAAATGTGTCACAAAGATAAATTATTTTTATTAAAAAACTAAAATAGAAATAAAGAGAAAATAGAATCAGTAGTCACCAATCAATATTAAAACCGATGTCGCCGCTCATTAAATAAAATCAAAGAAAAAAATTGATATGATCTATACAAAATGACACAAACACTAAAGGAAAAAAAGGGTTTCAAGCGGCCACGTCTATTTTGAATTAAATATTTTATTGTTTTAAGATAATTTTATATATTAATTAAATTGAAATATTAATTTTGGAATACAAGTAGATCAAATTAAAGTAATAGTATTTGAATATGTTTTTTTTATATAAAAAGATTATGTTAGTGGATTTTTATTTTATCAATAATATTATAAATGTTATATTTTATCGTTATATTATGATATATCTAAAGTATCATTTGGATTGTATCAGATGAAACTTACCTACAAACTCAGCAAGTAATCTCACTATCTTATGGGATGCTTGATAGTTTTTTACTATCATAAGGAAATTTCGTGTATTGTATCATTGTGAAAATTACCTACGTTATTCTCTAGCATTAGTACTTTGTGAGATTATTATAGCTTTTATCTTTACTATCTTATGGTATGCTTGATAGTTTTTTACTATCATAAGAAAATTTCGTATATTGTATCATAGTGAAAATTACATACGTTACTCTCTAACATGAGATTATTATAGTTTTTTTTACTATCTTATGGTATGCTTGATAGTTTAGGGTCCATTTGTTTCACTGAAAAAAATTTTTGAAAAATATTTTCCGTAAAATGAATTACATTTTCTGAAAAACATTTTCTGGAAAACGTTTTACGATGTTTAAAAGATGTTGCTTAAACCATTTTTCCATTAATTGATGAATTTTAAAAAAAAATTATTACAAATATTAAATACAATAAATAATATTATTTATCATAAAACTTAATAATATTATTTTTTAAATATTAAAATAATTTATTTATTATTAAAATATTATTTTTATAATTTTATTAATAAAAATAAAAATATTGATATATTTTATTTAAATAAAAATATTATAAATTATATTAATTATTTATTAAAGTAATAGTGTTATATTATATTTTAAAAATATTAATTAGTATATTTTAAATATCATTATTAAAATATTATTAGATTAATATTAAATATATAAATAATATCATTCATTATTAATAATTTATTTCTATGAAATTAATAAATAATATAAATTATTAATAATTTATTAAATATTATTAAAATAAAAATATAATATCTTATATTATTATAATATAATTGATTATTTTATTATAATATTAAAAAATAATATTACATTATTGGAAATATTAATAAATATATTTTAAATATTTTAAAGATTAATATTTTGATTAAAATGATATTAAAATATTTTTTTTAATATTAAATTTATAAATAAATTTATTTTGAGTATTTATTCTTTGAAGTGAAAAGTTCGGAAAATGACTTATGAAAAATCAGACGGTAAGTCATTTTCCAGAAAACACAAAGGAAATTCTGTTGACCAGGAAAATGTTGACTAATCAGTTTTACTCCAACCAAACATTGGAAAATGAGGAAAATATTTTCCGAAAAACGTTTTATTTAAAACAAACGAACCCTTATTTTTTTTAGTGAAAGGTTTATATGCCTAGAATGATTTTTTCCCCTTTACTATATTTTATATTTTTAGACTAAGCCGAAAACAAGTACGTAATTTTTTTTAAACTGATGATCAAAATAAAATAGTCCGAATACGAAATTGATTACCAATGTTGATCACCATTTAAAAATGTTTAAAAAATAACTAATCTTAATTTAATTAAGATAATTATAAACTATAATATTCAATTAATATATTTATTTTAAAAAAACTAATTTTGATGTATAAGCTAAAATAAACTATATACATCCCATTCTATTGAAAAGTCGTATCGGAAAGCAGTGAAGGGCAGGGTACCTTAGGGTGGGTTCGTGAAAAATGTGAAGAAAGAGATGTACAATTCACAGACGTTGGATATTCTTGGGCGTAGGGTAGGGCTGCGAACAGAGAAAATTGAAAAATCGATATGAATCGAGTAAAACGATTCGTTTCGGTTTGATATTATACGGTTTGATTTTTGGTTTGATTTAAAGTCTTCATTCTTTTGATTTGGTTCGGTTAGATTTTTTATATGGAAATCATTTGTTTCATATTGAACCGAATAGATAATTTTTTAAAAAAATTATAGTTTCAAGTGATTTTTTCATTGAAAAACCGATAAACCGAACCGAACCGAAAAAATCAGTTTTGATTTTTTCGGATTTTTAACCATCCGGTTTCGGTTTAAATTTTAAAAAACCGTTTATTTCAGTTTTATTCAATTTTTGGTAAAAAATCGAACCAAACCGAATACACCCCTATAGTAGGGTGTTAGTTCCAACTAAGGCCAGCGCAAGGACAGGGACAGCCACAGAATAACATAAAAACGGTTGAGGATCCACCTGTGCTTAACGCCGATAGCGGCTAAAGCTAAGGCCCTGCTTCATTTTTCCTCTTTCTTTAGATCACGCGGTCACTTTCACCATACTTTGGATGGTGAATTTAGATATTTATAGGTTTTCGATTTATTTTTATGAATTTAAATAATTTATATATTAAAATTATCATCTAGTACGGATTTTAAGGAATTAGAAATATTAGTTCCAAGATATTTATCATTTTAATTAATAAATGATATCTGATCTATCGGTCTATTAATTTAGATTGGAGACGATCCCCCTATATAGTTTGTTTCATTTGTAAACAATAAGATTCAAACCCTTGGCATTGCTTAAGAAATTTAGTGTCTCATTCCACAAGACGATTAAATTATTTTACGGTAATTAAGTTTGATTTATTATTCTTTTCTAATATATTATTTATTACTATATTCATATATAATTTAATTATAAATTAGGATTAACTACACGGATGATCACTTATATTCGTTTTTATTTAATTAAGATGTAGTCACCCGAGTTAACTTCTGTTAACACCAGTTAAATATTTTGATATAATCACACATTTAGTCTATGTTATTTACATATTCTCTCAATTTAGTCTTACTTTTAATATATTTATATAAAAATTTAATCCTCGAATCGAATGATTCCACATGTCATTCCACGTGTCACCATTCGGTTGGAGGACTAACTTTATTTTAATTTAATGTATTTATTTCCACCAATCAAAGAGTGACACGTGTCACCCTCTAGTTGAAAGAAAACAAAGAAAATCAAATGCGTGAATATATTTTATATATATTAACTTAAAAATATTTTTTATATTAACTTATTAAATATATTTTATTATTAACTTAATTTAAAAATATTTTATTTTATTTTCATTTAAAAATATATATATTTTATGTTAAAATTTATTTAAAATATAACTGAATTGAGAGAATATGTAAATCACATGGACTAAATGTGTGATTATACTAACATCATAAGATTATTATTAGGGATGGCAAACGGGTACAGTTTCGTGGATTTCGCACCGCATCCGCTCCAATTGAAACGGGGATGGGTATAATTTTAGCGGGTAGTGGGCGGGTGTGGATTTATAAAGTGGTACCCGTCGTGGGTGGTGGGCGGGTAATGGGTTTGAGATATTACTCGCCCCGCATCCGCCCGCCCAACTAAATATCTATTAAAATTTGGACCATTATGAATTTAGGTGTAATTTTAGAGACTAATTTATAAATTTTAATATTATATAATATATAACATATAATTTATCCAAATATTAAGGATATTTAGTCTTTAATCTGGTCTTTAATTAGGGAAATATTCGACTCTTTGATTAAACTCATAATCCCACTAACCACGTCACTTTCCATGTTCTTTAGCCCATGCTGCCCATCCAAACACAAATTAACTGTACTATAAGCATTAACATCAAAAGCAACAGTTTTCATGTTCTTTAGCCCCTCAAAACC